ATCCTTGGTAGCTCAGTGGCTGAGATACTTGCCTGCCAGCCGTTTAGTCTTTTGTTCAAATCCACATCGAACCATAGGTTTATAAAAAGTTTCTGGACACCAAGGTTGACCCAGTCTAAAATGGACCCCAGTAATTGTTCTTGCAGCTGAAAGCGTTTGGCATTATTACATCACCCACCAACTGCAGATTGGTTGATACAAATATACAGCTTGCACCGTAAACCATATTGACCTTGGCTCCTAGGTCAGTGCAGCCTAAAATGGGTGCCAGTTAGTGTTCTGGGAAGTAAAGGTGACTGGCATGATGTTGACCACCCAGCATCATGTGCTTGATGTGCCTAGCAAGACCTGCCTGCAGGAAGAAAAGTCTTCCAGAATTAAAGCATGGAATTTCAGGACCGTTGTTGCCATCATGTCGGCTCTGTGGCTAAGTCGATGCGAACATTTCGTCATGGCTGGGATGCCCTGTTCTATCCCAGCTGCGGGCCATGTGCCTTGCGTTGGTTTCGACGGTGGTGTCAAGAAAGCCGACCGTCCAGAAAGCAGTGGCAAACTACTGGACGTAAATTTGCCTAGAAAAACCAAACAGCCAGAGGCTGTTGGGGTTGGTTCTGCAACGTCCTATACAAAATACGCAGCTAACCTGTTGCCATCATATGTTTAGTGTGTTTTTGTCTCACCCATCTCCTAAACTATCAGCAATCACCTTTTTCCTGTATTCACACCCCCTTCCTGATTTCTCTTTCCCCACAAACCAGTCCATGCCATTTTGTTCCCACAGATCTCAATACCTGTATCATTCATATACCCCTTGTACAAATCTTTATATTGTATTTCTTGGTCCAGCAATAGTTATTCATAGTGTATTCCAGATATGTAAAATAGTCTACTGTCTTCTGCTCTTTGCTAATATTGTCGGCTGCAGGTCTATCATTAGAACCTTGCACCATAATCTTTGTCTTCTTTTGCTGATTGCTAATTCAAATTCCCAGTATGTATGAGTAAAGGCAGATAGTAAATATTGATGTGCCTCCTCGGAGAGGATGTTAAGTGCAGCATTATCTGCACAAAAAAACAGTCTGCTAAGTACCTCAGCCACTGATGCCGCTGTGTGTATAATATACACATGTATAACCATTGTGTGTGTGTATATATAATATATATTTTTATATATATATATATATATATATATACACACACACACACACACATATGTTTAACAATTGTGTATATATAAACAAGTATAACCATTGTGTGTGTGTATATATATACATGTATAACCATTGTGTGTGTATATATATATACATGTATAACCATTGTGTGTGTATTGCTTGTGTGGATGGATGTATGAGTATGTGTGGGTGGGTAGTATGTACATATGTGCATTTTTATAATGTCTTCAATATAATTAATAAAAATAGGTGAATATGTGGCAGACCTTTGAACATAATCAGGATCCACAGCCATTGGCTGTTAGCCACTGCTTTAACCTGTCTACTTCAGTAGTGCTTTATAAACCTGCCAAAGCACACATATTCCTGAAGTAGGTAACATTACACCCCTGAGTAAAATGGCCTAGTTTCATGGCTCAGAGGTCAAGCCAGTTATTTAGACCCATGCTTGAATGTCACAGTATTTATGGAATCCCGCTGTGTGTTCTCCTGTGTATATCATGATGTCAGACAGGAAATGTAATCTTTTCCAACCCCTTATTACTGTCTGGATGCCATATCACCATCATCATCATCCCTATCATAACCTTTACATCCTCAGTTATATTAGTTCACTGCTTGTATAGCAAATGGCCTCTATACAAGGAGTTTGCCTGTTGTTAATATAAGGATTGTAGGAAAGTTACTTCATCAGCTGGATAGTATACCCAGCTGATGTCTGTGTATAACCAGCTGTTGTCTATGTGTATCCAGATAGTGTCTGTGTGTATCTGGCTATTATTTGTGTATCCAGATAGTGTCTGTGTATCCGGCTATTATTTGTGTATCTGGCTATTATTTGTGTATCCAGCTAATTGTATCTGTGCATCCAGCTATTGTCTGTATCCTGCTATTTTATCTATGTATCTAGCTATTGTATTGGAGTATCCAGCTATTGTCCGTGTATCCAGCTGTTGTTTGTGTATCCAGCTGTTGTATGCGAATTCAAGTATTATCTGTGTATCCAGCCATTGTGTGCATATCTCTTTTCTGTGGATCCAGCTATTATGTGTGTATAATACCAGCTACTGTCTGTATCCAGCTATTGTGTGTGTATCCAGCTATTATCTATGTGTCCAGCTATTATGTATGTATCCAGCTATTATCTGTGTGTCGAGCTATTATGTGTGTATCCAGCTATTATCTGTGTGTCCAGCTATTATGTATTTATCCAGACATTATGTGTGTATCCAGATATCTCTCTCTCTGTCTCTGTATCCAGCAATTATCTGTGTATCCAGCTATTGTGTGTGTATCCAAATATTATCTGTGTCCAGCTATTGTCTGTACAGTTTGTGTATGGAAGCGGGGGGGAGAGGTCCTTTTTGTCAGCACACCTAGTGGTATTTTTCCTAGCCCAGCCTAAAATGTGGACTATGAAATGTTCAGCGAAACACAGGTAGTTGGGGGTGATGTTGATCACCTGGCAAGTGCCGATTAGTCTAGAACAGTGTTCCTCAACTTTTATACACCAGAGTTCCACCAAATCAAGGGAAAATGTTTGGTGGCTCACCTGACAGCAAATTAAACACACAAAAATTGACACCACACTGGCTTTGCAGGAATCATATAGCTGCGACATGAATTATTGTCCCTATTCCCAGACCTGATTACAGCTGACCTAACTGTCAGATACCATGATATTACTGTTTTATGGGGTTAAACATGGTTTCTGGGATTTGTACCTGTTTGATTCTCATCCTTGAGGTGTTAAATCCTACAGACAGCTAAACTACATATCCTACCCTGTTACGTGATTAGGCAGACATTTTTGCGACCCACCTGGACTTTTACGCAGCATATGATTGGCATCTTTCCTTCTTTCCAGACGGCAGTGTTATATTGCACTGTGAGAAGGCAGGGGACTCGCAGCCCATGGCAGTGCCCAGTGTGACTATAGTAGGACCCGCCCACCAGTTGAAGACCTCTGGTCGAGAACTGATGAGTCTGGCATCATATGCCCATTGAAAAGGGGCTATTTAAAGAGTCCATTACTGTTCACATAGTCCTGCAGAAAGAACAGGGCTGTTCCAGAACCCCTTGCATGTCTCAAGCAACAACTAATTTGAGGTTATGCTGGAGTTGAAGTGCTTTGGCTGTAGTAGCTCTTGTACCACCCATGCTAAATTAGAAAGCATTTCACCGATCTATTTCTGCTGGCAAGCTCTCTAATGAAGTGGTTACCTTTCCCCTTGGTAGCAGTCTAGCTTTTGTTGTTGCTTTTTTGTGTGTGTTCAGTGGCATTTCTGAAAATTATCTGAACTGGTACTCTCTGCTTTGTTGTGGAGTTCATGAAGTTTATCCTCTCCGGACTTAATTTGTTGCTGCATGCGGTACTCAGCATTCTTGCAGAATTTACCTCCCCAGTTTTGGCATGTGCCAGAAGAGTTAATTAGTGAAAACTCTGGAGGTAATTTTAAGTCAAGAACCAAGATCACAGCACTCAAGACTTTCCCATAAGTGCACCATCCCAGTCTTTAGCAGCTAGTGGAGAGTTCCAGTTCTGATGGTGCCAGTAACCGTCTGTGTGTGTTGTTCCTCTAGGGGAAATAAAGTAGCACGGCACATCAAGTGTTGTGGGTATATATAGGAAAATAAAGACAGCATGCTAGCGAGAACATATTTTAATAATGTAACATTGAAATTTCTATTTTTAACGTCTTGTATTTTAATTTTTGTATGTGCTGTCTACGCAGTTTAGTTAGACAGCTTTGGATTTGTTATCAGTTGCTTTCTTTGGGAATATTACATAATGAAGCTGCACTGTGCAACTCTCATACTGTGCAACTCTCAGACTGTTCAACTCTCAGACTGTTCAACTCTCATATTGTTAAACTCTTTGACTGTGCAACTCTCAGACTAATTCACCAGGGGGTGAGCAGATGTTCTGGAAGATATTTAAGAGTGTGGTGAAAACATAGGCGAACTTTAATTAGCAATTGGCAAAATTAGCACATCGACTCTTCATTGGCTACTGAGGAGGGAGACGGAGCATTTGTGGGAATATCCCGAGTGCATGAATGTTAGTTTTTATTTCTCTCATTCATTCATTCTCATACCAGTATCCAAAAATTATGAGAATAGTCTTTTCACTTTACTGAATGATATGTTCTAGTTTTGTAGCTTTTATCATCCCCATGTGTCAAGCCTGGTGATCATAATTTTTAGTCTCACACTTTCAGACCATTATCTGCTGTGCTCGGCAATAGTTCAGCATTCTTAATCTCCTCCTCCTCCTTGTTCTTCTTCTTTGTAATCCTTTGAAAATAAAGTTTGTTCATTCGTTCTTCTTCTTCCTCTTTGTCTTCTTCAGTTTGTTTTCTTTTCTTCTTCTTCTCTTTTCTTCTTCTTTCCTCCTCCTGCTCCTTCTCCTCCACCTGATCTTCTTCCTTTCTAAACCCCTGAGGTTTATTGCTGCTGATATCACTTGTCTCCTTTCATCTCTGGGATTTGCCTTTTCTGTCTAGTGACTGCAAGTGTTTGTATGCTTGTGCAATATCTCCTCTTGGTCTGCCTCAGGATCTAATCTTGTTCAGCTTTTGTTTTGGCCTCTTTTTGTGTGTAGACACCACCAAAGAAAACAGTTGCAAAATCCAATCAGTCCTGAAGAAGCCTACAGAAGGCTTGCCTGGAGTTAAGAGTCATTGGGAGAGCAGTGTAACAGTACCTACATTCCATGGGAAATGTGCAAGGGTGTTGTTTCTGCTAATGTCGTTATGCACATTAATTATTTTTTTGTTCTTTTTGTTGTTGTTGATTACAGGGTGAAAGAAGCACAGATTGGAAATCATGTCCAACATAACAGACGTGGCAGCCAGGGAGATCAAGGTGCTGGAGACGGCAGAAGATATCCAGGCAAGGAGAGATGAAGTGTTGGGCCGCTATGCAGCATTCAAGGCTGCTTGTCGTGACCGCAAGCACAACCTTGAGGATTCCCGCAGATACCAGTACTTTAAACGTGATGCAGATGAGCTGGAGTCATGGATTCTGGAGAAGCTTCAGACTGCATCTGATGAGAGCTACAAGGACCCTACCAACCTACAGGTATTTTCATTGTTCTTTCTTTGTATTTTTTCATTCAATGATATTTATTTTTAATGACGCCACATTGGAATTTAATATAGTTTTAGTAGAAATAAGAGGAAATGTTGTACAGAAATGACTTTATTTTAAAATATTCACAGTAGGTTACAATGTCTTTGTATGAGAGCAGTGCTCATACTGAGCGGGTTATCCTAGCCATTGTGCCTATAGAGGCATCCTCTGTCTAGCACAGTTAAAGTGATGACCAGTACTGAAAACTTCTCAGCTGCTTACCACATTTATCCATCACCTGCTTGCCGTGACTTCACGTAACACTGATCAGGAGTGGGAGGGGGGGGATGGGCTAAGCGGGTACTCTATCCCTGCCCATGTGGTATCCCGCGGGCTAGAGGAAGGAGTAGGGCGCCTTATATCTCTTTCTTTATCACTTAAGACAAGAAAGAAAATTCCTGAGAGATTAAATGCTATATTGGTATACGGACGTGAATCATAGACAGTAAATTAGTGAAAGCTTTTTTGGAAACTACGGAGATGTGGTTAAAAGACGAATTATGAAATACCCTGGACAGATAAAAAGAGTAATGACGATGTCCTGAAAGAAACTTATTGCCCACATCAGAAGGAGACAATCTACATTCTTTCGTCATGTGATGAGGATGAGAAGGAGAAAACTTAACTACATCATGATGGTAGGAGGGGTGCAAAGAGGTTTCAAGGGGCGTTTGGCAGTTTTGAAAGTGAGTGCAGTTAAACTAATAATAATCCGTTATACTAATACTTTATTTTAGTTCTATTATAAATGAAATATTTTGGTGGGTGGGGGGGGATGGGCGTCTAACAATCTACTCAAAAGCGGGAGGGACATAGGGGTCTTGCAACATACTCAAAAGTGGGAGGGACATGGGTGGTCTTGCATTGTACTCAGAAAGGAGGGGGCGTTGGGTTCTCACCATGTAGAGGGAAAGCGAGCCTGGAAAAAAAATAAGTCTGAGACTACTGATTCACACAATGGGAAATCGGGAGCAAGAATTGTTTCAAAAAAAAAGTTAAAATGATTATTCTGAATTGTGTGTTGAATTATTTTACTTCAGGTTATAACATCCAGTTTGTTTTCTTCCCTCTCACAGGCCAAAATCCAGAAGCACCAAGCTTTCGAAGCTGAAGTTGCAGCTCATGCCAATGCCATTGACACCTTGGATGAAGTGGGCAATGAAATGATCAGCGATGGCCACTTTGCCTCTGAAATTATCCAGGTAAGTGCTGGGAGTAGTGTGGACATATTTGTATGATGCAGCATAGAATTAACCAGAGCCAGGGTTCGATCTGTGCAGCGGACAGTTTAAAAAAAGACCTTTTGGGCACTGGTAAATGAGTTGTACCAGTAAAGATTGGGGCCTCAAAGACAGCTGTGGAGGCACTGAAGGCAACCTTCATTGTGGGGATGGCATTACCTTATTTATAAATATACTTCTTTCTCGCTGAGCATCTTCATTATCGTCAATCCCTGGGGATTGTCGCTAGAGCTACGGAGTTCATGCTTTGTCTAGCACCCTCGGCAGGCAGCTTGACTTTCTCTGAGACCGGGTCATATGGGGTAAAAGCTTGGGCAATAAAGTTGTTCCTCTTGACTGTAACTTTCAACTCTATTATCCTTTTGGGCCAAAATGTGTCACATAAGGCTCACAGTTTATTCCCCTATTCCATTCTTCACTTCATTCCTCTACTCCTGGAATGCCTCACTGCATCAGGGCAGGAAGAGATCTCTGGAACAGGCTCTTCTGTTCGCTTCGTATAAAGTACTTTTCAGTGTCTCCTTTATTTCTGAGGTTCATTTTATCTTCTGCAATGCTTTCAGTATCACGAATGTATGCCAGTTCAGCATCCTTGACCTACCTCATCAGTGCTCATCTTCTCACCTGTGTTTAATATATAATGCATATAATATCACATTTGTTTTTCTCGTAAAATTTGAAGGACCGACTGGAAGAGCTGCATCGCCTGTGGGCACTGCTACTTGCTAGATTGGCTGAGAAGGGAACAAAACTGCAGCAGGCTCTGAAACTGGTCCAGTTCATGAGGGAGTGCCGTGAGGTCATGTTCTGGATCAATGACAAGGTGGGTGATCCTTAGCTTTCTGAGGGGTATTGTGTTTGATTTGTCAAGTCAGGTGGGTGATCCTTAACTTTCTCAGTGGTCTTGTGTTTGATTTGTCAAGTCAGGTGGGTGATACTTAGCTTTCTCAGTGGTATTGTGTTTGATTTGTCAAGTCAGGTGGGTGGGTGATCCTTAGCTTTCTGAGGAGTATTGTGTTTGATTTGTCAAGTCTAAAAAAGCTAGGAAAATGTCAGGAATGATATAACAGAGTGAGAACAGTCGTGTCATCAGCGACTGGGTCACCCACTGACTCGCCGGTGGATGACTTCCTCGCTGGTCAGGACAGTATTTGGATCTGTCTCCTTTGATTGCATCAGCACTGCAGGTGTCCTTTTCAGGGCTCTTGGCGGCCTGCAGTGTTAAGCCATGGCTGAGCCATTTCATGTAGTGCACATAACCTAGTCACAATTATAACCTAAAGCATTCCCCTTTGGGGATCCTGGTTGTACTTGAGGCTTTAAAAAAACATTTCCAGCAAAATCTCTACCTACCTATAAAGTATATGTCAGCTTTACAGAACTGATTATAGTGAGCACACAGAGGATATTGTGGCGATTAGCCTTCATCAACAAAACAGTGACAAGACACAAAACACAACACATGCAAATATACTGTTTCTGAAATGACCACATTGATATATTAGTTATACTATTGAGACAAAGTAATGATACACGACAGAATTGAAATAGAGTATGTGCTACCCAAAAATAAAAAGGCAAACACACCTCGATATCCATGAGATCTGTATACAAATCTAGTTTTAAACAAATCCACTGCTGTGTTTGCATTTTATGGACAGGTAGAGAGACCTAGAGAGAGATAGACACAAACACACACAAACCACCACTTTTTTCTCTGTGTCATGGCACTGGGCTACAGCCTAGTATCAGTAAGATGACAGAAAAAGATTATGTGTATCTGTTCCTCTCTATGTCTGAGTGTAGTTTATCTGTGTGTATGTGTGTGTGTGAGTCTCTCTCCCTGTGTGTTTCTCTCTGTTTCTGTGCTTTGTCTGCCTGACTCTCTCTCTCTCTCCCGCCCTCCCTTTCTCTCTCTCTCTCTCTCTCTCTCTCTCTCTCTCTGTGTGTGTGTGTGTGTGTGTGTCAGATGATGTTTTGTTTTACACTTTGTGTGTATGAGATATATGAGGATGGCATCTAGTTAAAGATTCCACTTGATCATTCCCTCAGGATGCTTTTGTGACATCAGAGGAGTTTGGAACAGACCTGGAGCATGTGGAGGTCCTGCAAAAAAAATTTGATGAGTTCCAGAAGGTAACATATAAACATTCTGACTGTTAGATTGTAGCTGCCTCACTATTGCCTTCACTGGTAGTTTATTTTTCTATATCTTTCACAATTTTTGCTCATATTTTGTTGACAGTTGTAGACAAATGATGAGAAAACTATGGGCAGATAAAAAGAGTAATGAAGATGTCTTGAAAAAAGTTGAATCACGGAGAGAACTTATTGCTGACACCAAAAGCCAAGAATCTGTATATTTTGGTCATGTCATGAGAAGGAGGAAACTGGAGTAAATTATGACAGTGAGAAATTTGGAGGGGGAATGAGTCAGAGAGGGACTGAGAGGGAAGATGCTGGACAGTTTGACATCATGGGAAGGGTGATCGTCTCTGTCAGAGTTGATTGAAAGTACATGAGACAGAAGGTTGTGCTTTTATAGGTCAAACTGCTTTATAGGTGATGGCGGCGTTCACTCTTTTCAGTCACAGGGAACTCATCATATGTTTTTATAGTCCTACTTAGAAGCACAGTGAACGCACGATGTGCCAATTTTATATCTCTCCTGACTAACCCTTGGGCCTTTGATGTTAAACCCCATGGGATTGAAAGAGCTAAGCTATCTTTTCCAGAAGTCAAAACTCTCATTAAGAGAAAATCAGAAACAGATTGGAAAAACAACACTGGTTATAACTACGGAAAAGATTTTCTGAAACCCTTGAACAGAACAGACCAAGTCACAGTTTTTCGCTTACGCACTGGACACTGCAGACTCAATAAACACTCACATAAATTAGGTATGAGCTAAACAGCTCTCTGCCAGTGCCTTCGTGCTGAACAGACTCCAGAACATGTCCTGCAAGACTGTCCTCTCCTGGCGGAGCTGCGGAGCGACATATGGCAACACCCAGTAGAACTGACAACTAAGCTTTGGGGAAACCTAAGAGACCTTGAAAAGACATCCCAGTTTATGACCCACAGTGGATTATGCGCATGACCAGAGATCGCTGAAGAAGAAGAAGAAAGAGCTAAGCTGACAGCATTTACTTTCCAAAAAACTCTGGTATGAAGACTGTTTATTTAAAAAAAAAAATTTGCCTGAATGCAGATTTGAATCTGTGAACTTGAAACTGGCATGCAAGCATCCCACCTTTATGCCACTGCTGCTCCCAGGTTAATGTGTAATAATGTTACATATTATGTCATACTTTCAGTGTGCTTTGCTAGGGAAGAACAGATAAGAGTATGTTTGTGGGGTAAGAGATAAAGAGAAAGATATGATCACCACACACTTGCATCCAGAGAGAGAGAGAGAGAGAGAGAGAGTCAGACATATAGCTTCATTTTGCCAGGCAGCATAATTCATTATCATTGTCTTTTTGTGGTTTTATATTTCAAATAAGACTGACATTCTACATTTCCATTTGGTTCTGTCGGCAAGTTTCTGCAGCAAATAATTGTTTACAAGCTTAGGACCTTCAGTGGCCAATATGGGCATCACATATGCTTGCATGTAATTTATCTTCTTTATCTTTTGTTTGTTTGAAATAGATTATCTATATCTGCAAGTATGAACTTCGCTGTTTTTTGTGTGTAATTCACCCATTGACCCGTAAGGTTTGCCTTGCATCTGTGTTTCTCTTGGCCAAAAGTTTTGCCTTGATATGTTGTATTTGGGACAATCTTGAAAGATGTGATCTGTTGTCTCAGGTGCTAACCCACATGTACACACAGCTGACTGGCCATTAAAAAATGTTGTGTACATGTGGCTGCGAAGTTGATTATTTTAAGGCATAGAATAATGACTTTCTCTGGTCTGTCCTCATTATGGTAGTCTTTTGTCAGTTTTGCTCCTCCATTTGTGCTTGCGATTTTGTGTGTGCGATTTATCAATATATAATAAACTTTGAGATGCCGTACAATGCAAGGCACATACTAAAAGAGGAGAGGCATGTAGATTGAAAGACAACATGAGAGAAACTCTTCAACAGCATGATGTATCTTTGGTCAAAGTAGCCAGAATATTACGAACCCACAACCTTATATCTTGCTCTACACCCAAAGTGTAAAATAGGAGGTGAAGAAATATGAAAATTCTGCTGTTTTTACAGAATTAACCATTTGCTAATTTATTTTTATTTTTTATTTTATTTTTGGCTACAGGATCTTCAGAACCATGAAGACAAGGTGGCAGAAGTCAATAGCCTGGCAGAGCAGCTGATTGCTGATGAACATCCTGAGGAAGAGACCATTAAACAGAAACAACAGGTGAGAGAACTCCCATTTGTTAGTGCTGTTTGATTCTACACCCAAGTCAGCTTGCTGGTAAACATTATATATGGAAAACATTATATCTGGGGAATATATCTGGGAAAGGTTATGTCTAAGAAACATGTTTTCCGAACATTATTGCAGGGAAACATTATCTTTTATGAAGTTTATGTATGGGAAACATTAGTCTGGGAAACACGGCTGGATCAAATTGTGAGCTGTAGTGATTGACTGTTATTTCCTGTGTGCGTTCCAGGGCCAGTGTTTTTTTTGGGCGGGGGGGGGGGGGGGGGGGGGGGGTAAAATGATAGACCCGCACCTCTTTTACAAGCATGATGTCAAAGAAGGCTTATGAAGCCAGGGCTGTTCAGCTGGCGGCCCACCGAGGCCTTGCAAGTGACCCTCGGATCATTGCCAGTTGTATTATATTACAGGGTTCGCAGTGGACCGGGAAATCGGGAAATTACCGGGATTTTTTTCGTTGACCTTAAAACCGGGATTTTTAGCTTATAAAAGATATTCCGACCTTGAAAAGCCGTGAATTTTGACCGCGGCAATGAAATCGTCAGAAATCCTGTGTTTTTCAAGCACAGGCAATTTTGGGGGAGCCATTTGGCTTTTTTGGCCATTTGGCTAGTTTTTGGCTACTTTCATTGTATGGTCGTTTCAGGTGTGAGGGCAGCTGATTATTGGCTATTTTCAGCCGAAATGGCTTGTTAAAGGCCAGGGGAGGGCGGGCTTTGTTACAGATCATGAATACATGCAGACAGCAGCAGTGTGGCATGGGGCGGGAAGGAGCAGCTTCCTTCTCGCGTGTGTGTGTGTGTGCCTTTGTTTCTAGCAAGTCGGGCAGAATGAACAGTTTAAATCGTTTATAGCCGTGGTTTCTAGAAAGGATTACATTGGGAGATGGTGGGGCTTGGTTCAGTTGTATTTATAAATAGAGTCGCCGTGGTGGGGCTAAGCACGGCCTTCTCTATTAATTAGAGATGGCATTGGGGCTAAGAAAAGTGACTGCAGCTGGATTTCCCAGTTCTATTTTTGGCCTGGATTTATCTTTACAGTGTGTTTGGCGATCAGTATTGTAATTCCCCGAGATTCCCTCTTCTGTTGTCTCACTCCTCTCTCTCTCTCTTCCCTCCCTCTTTCACTCTTCTACCTATTGCTCCTTCCTTCCCGTCTCCTGCATTGTCTCTAACCCTCCCTTCTGATCTTCATCTTCTTCTCTTTCTCTCTATCTTTCCTTTTACTCTCCCATTTCCTGTCCCCCCTCCCCCTTTTTCCTATTTTATTTCTTGTTTAAATGTTTAGTAAATGTGCGGCTCCATAACTCTTCCTAGCAACTCAAGTACACAGGAAGTTGTATTGGGGGGGGGGGGGGGGGGGGGCATTCTGTGTGAACATGGTGGATATTTTCTTTTGATGTGTTTGTTTTCCTAGCGGCCTTAATCTCTGTCCATCTCCCTTCCCGCCCCCTCACATTTTGTCCTACCTGTTCCTCACTCTCTGCCTGTCTGTGTCACTGCTTTCTTCTTTCTCTTTGTATTTGCCACTCTCCCTCACTCCCTCCCCCCCTCTCTCTCTCTCTCTCTCTCTCTCTCTCTCTCTCTCTCTCTCTCTCTCTCTCTCTCTCTCTCTCTCTCTCTCTCTCTCTTTCTTTCTCCATACCTTCAGTTGGTGTAGAAGGTTATGTGTTGCCTAGTGCAGAACATTTCATGTCCACCATTCCCCCTCCCACACATTAAATATATGTGTACTTTTAAAAACACATTTGCCGTCACCCCCCCCCCCCCCCTTTTTTTTTCTCCTCCCACATTGATGACACCTAGGGGAGGGAGTGCACCCCTTCCTGCTACCTTCTTCCCTCTATATCTTATTTCTTACTCCCTGTCTCATTCCCACTTTATTTTCTTAAACTTTATTCTCTCACCTCCTCTGTCTCACCCTTACCACCTCAGCCTTCTACACCACTTTCCACCACCTCCTCTCTCCCCTCCTTTCTGTAATTGGAAAACCAGAAATAAAACGAAGTCCACTGCTGCCCTGACCTATTTATGTGTGTGGGTAAACTTCTCTATTTTCCACCAGTGGTGGGTTGGGATCCCCTGGACTTTTATTTTCTTCATAAAATGACCTTGGCTCTCATGTCACCAGCCTTAAGTGTAAGAAATTGAATTATTGTTGTCACACACAGATAGGACAAGCAAGGGGCAGTAGGGGTTAGCACTGTTGTTTTTGGACCACGGCCACATTCACATTGAGAGAGGGTACACTCATTGTTCTTACACCCCCCCCCCCCCACCCACCCCCACAACCGTGTCTTACCTTTCTTCTCTCACCCCTTCTCTTTCCTTTGATCTTCTTCTATTCTCCTTTCTCTCTCCATTCTTCCTCTCTTCCTTTCCTTGCCCTCTCTCCTGTCCCATCTCTTCTTTGTCTCCTCTCCATCCTGTCTTTTCATTTTCTCTAGATTTCCTTACCCGCTCCCCTCTCTCATTCTTTCCCCCCCCCCCCCCATCATTTTTTTTTTTACTGGTTTATCTACGTATTTTTTTTGCCCCATAACTATCTTTTCCTAGTGGTTGTGTCCACTACACTTGAAATTGTGTGTGTGGGGGGGGGGGGGGGGGGGGGGGGGGGGTGGGGGGGGGGGGGGGGGGGTGGGGGGGGGGGGGGGGGGGGGGGGGGGGGGTGGCTGTTTTTTTTTCTTTGATGTATCTTGTCTCCCTTCCTGCCCCTCTCTCTTAATCTGTGTTTGTCACTGCCTTCCTTACCCACCTCTCTCTCTCTCTCTCTCTCTCTTGCTTTATGTCTGTTTGCCTCCCTTCATCACTTCCTCTTTGTATACCTCCCTCCCATTCTCCTGCTCTGCCTTTTTTCTCTCTTTCTTTGGGTTCTCTCCCTCTGTCTGCTTGCCTCTCTGTGCTGTCCCTTTGTCTCTCTCTCTCCTTTATGTCTACATCTCTCTCTGCTTGCATCTGCTTCTCACCCTGTCCGTTCTCTCTCCCTCTGTCTCCCTTCTTTCAACTCTTTGTCATATTTTCCTCCTTCCATATCTCTATTTCGTTCCCTTTTTCCTTCTCTTTTCATCTGCCCATCTCTGTATCTGCATTCCCTCTTTCTGTATTTTTTTCCCTCTCTGTCTTTCGCTGTTCCTTCCCCACTTTTCCTCATCATGTCTCCATCCCTCCCTCTCATTTTTTCCTCCTTCCCCAGACTTCTTTTCCTTCTTTTCTCTACCTTCATCTGTCCATCTTTACACTGTCTCTCCCAGCCTACCTCAGCATGTGTCTTCCTCTCTCTTCATGACTCTCTCTCTCTCTCTCTCCCCTAACCCTCTCAGGTACCAGGTCCAGAACAGACAGGACTTCAGTTTGCTGCCCTCTACCACCAAGCCCTAAAAAAAATTTCAAACACTATATCAAGCTCAGGGGCCGACCAGCACGAAGATGGGCACAGGATATAAGTGACTCCTTGAGTATAAAAAAGTACATGAGACGGGAGAGCTGGTGAGAGACCGAGGTTTTTTGTCAGGACAAAGGAAATGATACATGATGATGATATCTGTGCTGGTATACCAACACATGTGGCCTTGAACAAGGCAAAAATCTTGTTTCAGTATTACACCGAGACAACCTTGAAAAAAACTAAGGAGACCTTGAAAAAGACCTTGAAAAGCCTTGAAATTGATTGGTAAATTTGGCTATGAACCCTGATATTAATGATCTTTCTGCTTGGGGCTCTGGCTTGTGACGGACACCATTTTCAAAATTGTGGCTCTTGAGTAGACTTAGTTGAAAAACCCTGAATGAAGAGTTTGTTGAAATCGAATGTGTTTGGCCGAAAGGCTGAGATGGCAGCCTAGCCAAAGCAGTGTACCATCCACCCATGTTAGGGAGGAGCACAGAAGAGCTGTTGCGTTTTGTTCCTTGCTATTTGCTAATGAAAGCTTGTTGCTGCAACATCCTCTTCTTGCTGTAATTTTAATTTTATCAAGCTAACTTGAAACATGTTTTTATTAACGTATTGTTTTTACTGCAGATAAACTCAGTTTCAGACACCCAAATATAACTGAGTGCAAATAGACATATTATAAACAGTATATTCATTCTAGCATTGAGCTACCAGTGCCAAACATGGACACTAAAGCCTTTGTACACAAAATCACCAGTTAAGAGATGAGATGCCTGAGAAAATCCGCCAACCGAACTTTCTGAGATTGAGTGAATAATGATACTATCAGACAAATGGTTGGAACGACACCTTGAGCTAGATTCAATGAGAAACAGCAGATCAAGAAATTTGGCCATCTCATTAGAATGCAGCAAGATCAAATACCATCACAGGCACTACACCTCAGAACATCAGCCGCAAGAGCAACAGGGTGACCGGTAAAATATGGATCGACAGCCTTAAAGACACTCTACACCTTCACGGCGTGACAATAGCCACTGGTAGCCAACGCGTACTGGATCAAAAATGTTTCCTCCCCACGACACTTAACAGCAAATTTGTTTATGACAATGATGATAAAACCCATTTTATTATATACCCAAGTGGTTTTGAAAGACCCGTAATGAATGACTTGGTTCCGGATGAAGCAGGGGTTGCCCAGCATGGGGGTTTGTACAAGATATTGGGGACAATAGCCGCTGGTAGACAACGCGTACTGGATCAAAAATGTTTTCTCCACACGACACTTAACAGCAAATTTGTTTATGACGATGATGATAAAACCTATTTTATTATATACCCAAGTGGTTTTGAAAGAGCCGTAATGAATGACTTGGTTCCGGACGAAGCAGGGGTTGCCCAGCATGGGGGTTTGTACAAGATATTGGGGACACTTTGCACGTTAACATAGATTCAGCGGGGGAATTTATGTATACTCAACCCTGTATGGTACAGAAACCTGGACAATAAACAGGCAACTAGAAAATCAATTTGAGTCTCTGGAAATATGGATAAACAGAAGAATAGGTCTTATTTCATGGAATTTAAAAAAAAATCAAATACAGAGGTTCTGGAGAGCGTGGAAATAAAAATAGAGACTTAAATATACTTGAAAAAAAAAAAAGACAATGGAAATATTAAAAGACATAACACTCCATTAAGAAGCATACTGGAGGAAAAGTAGAAGCTCAGCAGGGGAAGACAGTATCGATAGAGGGACAGACAGCACTGAGAGAGTGTACAACCAAGGTACGAGACAAAGTGTTGGAGTGGGGTACTTTGCAGCCAGCCTTCATTGTAGAAATGGCACATGGTTGAATGATTGAGGGCATTTGACAAAGCATCCACTTGACAGCTTTCAGGACTGTGATGGGTGATAAGCTTTGCAGGGGAACTACTTCAAGATGGTGATCTTCTTCTTCTTCCTCTTTTACTGCTTTGTCAAGGGACATAAAAGGTTCTGCTTCATGCTCTTCTGATCGCCTCAACCATAGGCACATAATGCTGTTTCTCTTTCCGTTTTGTTCTTCCTGATGTTGTGTCCTTCTCCTTTTATTTTAGTGTATACCTTGTAGGAATTATCGTAACATGCAGTCTCCCTCAGTGGGCAAACCACTTGTTTTGCTGCCTTTGTATTATTAATTAAGAATTGGTTCTGTAGAGGCAGACCGAGAGTATGATGGATAGACAATATATCAGAGATCCTGAGGCAACACGGACTAACAACAACACGTGCAACACACCTGGCCCAGGATAGAAAACTGCGACTCCCCACTACGCTGTGAGGCAATTATGGACAAGACAAGACATTGGTTCTGTGCCATCTTTCTCCTTTATGACCTTATTCCTGCTTTTTAATCTCTTCTGGTCATTCTTGAAAAAGGGATGTGGGTTTTATTCTTCAGTTAGCTTATTAATCAGTAATATTTGTTCAGTCCAGCGAGGCAGACCAAGAAGAGGATGGAGAAATTATATCCAGACAGACCTGCAAACTCTTGGTGTCACCAGCTGGAAAGAGAATGCCAACCAGAGAGAGGGAGGCGGGTGATAACTGCAGCAACGAACCTCAAAAGCTCAGAATGCTGAAGAAGAAGAGTATTTATTTGTTCAGTGCTTTAATGTCATTTTTGTTTTATTTCATTATTTCAGGAAGTAAATGAAGCTTGGCATCGTCTGCGCCAGTTGTCGTTGTTGAGACAGGAAAGATTGTTTGGTGCTCACGAGATACAGAGGTTTAACAGGTGAGTTGCGGAGCTTTTCCCCCCTCCTGTAGTACGTAACAGAATGCAGCACAAGCATCTCTTTAAGGCAAGACTGTAATAGACACATTGTTGTCAGTACTGGCACATTCTTTTCTAGAATGAAATTCTTAGTGGTGTTCAGTAAGAAGTCAGTGACCTTTCTTCATTCGTTGAGTTTGCTGAATATAGGGTTATTGGAAAATGTGGTCGAGGAGCCACAGTATTTTATATGCTTTCCTGCATGTCTTGGGTTGAAATCTTGATCAGGTTATTTTAATTGACACCATGTTGGTACCTATGCCCCATTTGGGGGGGGGGGGGGGGGGACAAGAATGGATGCACTCCCTTCTCCTAACTCGTATGTTGTAAAAGTCAATTAATTAGGGGTGTTTCCTTCGAAGTCAGAGTGCGTCTGTCTGACAGGGGAGGAAACAAGTCTCATTATAAATAAACCAGATTTGTAAAAATGGATGTGCATGCAAAACCCAAATCCTGGAACAAAATTAAAGTCCAGAATTAGATGAACAACCAGAAATTTTCTCCAGAGTTTGTAGCCAGTGGCTGCTAAGAAGAAGATCCTGGATACCAGATCGACCCAGTCTATAATCTTTTTCTTAAAGTCCATACCGTGTGGCGTTGGTAGTCATGTTTATCCACAACCTTCTGTTTCTTGTACTTTCAGTCAACTCTGATACAGGGGATCCTCTATGCCATGATGTCAAACCGTCCAGCATCTTTTCTTTCGGTCTCCCTCAGCCTCTCCTCTCCTCCAACTTTTCTGCTGTCATGACATGTACCAGTTTTCTCCTTCTCATCACATGAACAAAGAATGTAGATTGTCTTATTGATGTGGGCAATGAGTCAGTCTATAATAGGTACCTGAAAATGTCCTTGGAAGTAAAGGCAGCCAGCATGATATTGACATCTTCCACCAGCGGTTCTCAACCTGCGGGTCTCGATCCCTTTTTATATGTTCCACGACCCTTTCACAGGGGTCATCTCAGACCGTTGGAAAACACATATTCATTGAAGTTATGAAGTGGTAACAAAAATAGGTGTATTTTTTTTTGGGGGGGGGGGGTCGCCACAACACGAGGAACTGTATTAAAGGATCACAGCATTAGGAAGGTTGAGAACCACTGCTTTAGATGATCTTCCTGGTTGCTTTTTGTGTCCATGCAGTCATTCTTGCTTGTTCTCTGGGTTCAGTCTGAACTGTTGGAATGATTGTGTTCCAGTTCATCTCTGGGGTCATAAAGCACTCCTGGCATTGGTACTAGAGATTTGTGTGGGTGGGACATTTAAAGAGATGAAATACTGAAGAGTGCATGGGAATATACAATTTGGGGACAAAGATTGTAGCTTAGAAGAAATATTTATGCAGGCCAGCACATGTGTTCATATAATAATTAAAACAAAGATTAGGGATTGGAATGATTGTGAAGTTTTGCAAACCAGCCAAGTAATCAAATTTGACCAATCAGACAAACTGCCAACTAAATAACCAACCAGCCACTCAGGCAACCAACTAACCAACTTAGCATGCAACCAACCACTCAAACAACAAACCAAAGCAACATAAGAACATCATGTCCATGCAGCATTCACTTATATAACTTCTGAAGCCACTGCTATGCTTATATTTTCGCAGAGATGCTGATGAGACAATCTCCTGGATCCAGGAGAAAGACACAGTGTTGTCCACCGATGACTATGGTCGGGACCTGGCAAGTGTGCAGACTCTGCAGAGAAAGCACGAAGGGGTGGAGAGAGACCTAGCTGCCTTAGAAGAAAAGGTATCAGTTTAAAGTATTAATACAGTCTCTTCTCTTTCTGTAATATATATACAGAGTGTTCCATCTGTTTCCAGGCATAGGAATGCCATCTGCAAGCATAACTTCGACCGCGCTTATACGTGTTCTTCAATAGCGGAGGACACGTATTGAAATATGTTTTCCTATGTATTGAAACCTATGGGGCACCGTGTATTATCTTTGTTAAAGTAAATTAAAAAGTCTACATAGTTTAAAAATTACTATTTATAAACTTTACTGTGTCAGATTTTGAACCCACCATCCTTCCAGTCACTTTCTGCAAGTAGGAACACTTGTAGTTCTCAGCCTGAGAGTCCATTTGCCTGCTCTTCCTCCTGTCATTTTCTGGACATTGTCTAAGAATATTGTTGGAGGAACTGATTGAATTATGTACATGTTTCCCTCAGGTGATTGCACTGACCACTGAGGCTGACCGTCTCAAGGAAATCCACAGGGACCAGGCTCCCCAGATACAGGACAAGCAGCAGGAGATTGGAGAGAACTGGAAGAAACTTAAGGCTAAGGTAAGGAGATTGGAGAGAACTGGAAGAAACTTAAGGCTAAGGTAAGGAGATTATAGAGAACTGGAAGAAACTTAAGGCTAAGGTAAGGAGATTGGAGAGAACTGGAAGAAACTTAAGGCTAAGGTAAGGAGATTGGAGAGAACTGGAAGAAACTTAAGGCTAAGGTAAGGAGATTGGAGAGAACTGGAAGAAACTTAAGGCTAAGGTAAGGAGATTGGAGAGAACTGGAAGAAACTTAAGGCTAAGGTAAGGAGTTTGGAGAGAACTGGAAGAAACTTAAGGCTAAGGTAAGGAGATTGGAGAGAACTGGAAGAAACTCAAGGCTAAGGTAAGGCTGATTTTCTATCTCTCTGCCAGTCTGTCTATCTTTGATAAATTTAGGCTGGCCTTCTTTCTTTCCTGTGTGTGATTGTTTTATTTGTTTATTTTTTCATGGATTAATTCAAGCTAATCTTTCTTTCTTTTTCTTTCTTTCTTTCTTTCTTTCTTTCTTTCTTTCTTTCTTTCTTTCTTTCTTTCTTTCTTTCTTTCTTTCTTTCTTTCTTTCTTTCTCTTTGTGCATTTCTTTAATTAATTAATTAATTTTTAATTTTTGTTCTAATCGTGGCGTAATTTAAGCCTATTTTCCTTTCTTCGTTCCTTTCTTTCCTACTCTCTGTCTTGTTCTGTGTTCAAAATTTTGTTATTCCTTAAAATTTGACTTTAGACTGGTTATAATTTTTGTCTTTTCTTCTTTCTTTCATTTTGTGAGAGAAAGAAGTGCCCTTTCTGCCTCGCTCTCTTTATCTCTCTGATGTATGTATGTGTCTGGTAGGTGAAGAAACAAAAGGGGAACGGTAATATAAATTGTTTTGATCAGCATATTTGCTGCTATTTATCTTACGTCCCATGTTTTGTCATTTTTTTTTTCAAGGCGACCGAGCGCAAGAGAAGGCTGGACGATTCCTACTACCTGCAGAGGTTCCTGGCTGATTTCAGAGACCTAGTGTCCTGGGTCACTGACATGAAGGCTGTTATCTCGGCTGATGAATTGGCTAAAGATGTGGCTGGAGCAGAGGCTCTTTTGGACAGGCATAATGAGCATAAGGTGAGTGGGGGACACTTGATGAAATCTGAAGAGTGAATGAGTCAGTGAATCAGTCAGTCAGTGAGTGGGGACACTTGATGAAATCTGAAGAGTGAATGAGTCAGTGAATCAGTCAGTCAGTGAGTGGGGACACTTGATGAAATCTGAAGAGCGAATGAGTCAGTGAATCAGTCATTCAGTGAGTGGGGACACTTGATGAAATATGAAGAGTGAATGAGTCAGTGAATCAGTCATTCAGTGAGTGGGGACATTTGATGAAATATGAAGAGCGAATGAGTCAGTGAATCAGTCAGTCAATGAGTGGGGACACTTGATGAAATCTGAAGAGTGAATGAGTCAGTGAATCAGTCAGTCAGTGAGTGGGGACACTTGATGAAATATGAAGAGTGAATGAGTCAGTGAATCAGTCATTCAGTGAGTGGGGACACTTGATGAAATATGAAGAGCGAATGAGTCAGTGAATCAGTCAGTCAGTGAGTGGGGACACTTGATGAAATATGAAGAGGGAATGAGTCAGTGAATCAGTCATTCAGTGGGTGGGTTAGTTGATCAGGGAATCAGTCAGTCAGTGGGTGAGTTAGTTGATCATGAATCATTTAATGAATAAATCAGTCATTGGGTGAGTCAGTTAGTCATTCAGTGAATAAGTCAGGTCAATCGGTCAATAAATCAGTCAGTAAGTGAGTGAGTCTAAAGTCAATGAAGGAGTGAGTGTCGGTCAGTCAGTCGTGGAATGAGTCGGTTGGTCAGTCATTTATTTGATTGGTTGTTGAGTAAATGAGCTAGTCAGTTACAGTGAATCAATGAGTTAGTCAGTGATTAAGTCAGGAGGCAGTGAGTGAGTGTGTCAATTGGTCAGCCATTCAGTAAATCAGTCGGTGAGTGAGTGAGTAAGTCTGTGGGTTAGCCGGTCATTGAGTAAGTCGTGAATCCTATTTGGTTTCAGAATGAGCTTGTATTTTGATAACATCTTTCAGGGAGAGATTGATGCTAGAGAGGACAGCTTCCAGAGCACAACTGAAGCAGGAACTAAGCTGGTGCAGTCTAACCACTTTGCAGCTGATGAAGTCAAAGAAAAGGTAATGCTTAATGTAGGGGGTCAGTGGGCCTGCCCCCATACCCTCAAAATGGGGTCCAGGAACCCACATGGGGAGTTGAGGTGTAGGTGGAGTAGTTTTACCATGTTTGTCTGTGGCCTAATGGTCATGTGCTCAAACCCCTTCAAGACAAGGGATTTAAAATGCTGTCAGGTCAGCCCGGCCTGAAATGGGTAGAACATTTTCTGGGAAATAAAGATGGTCAGTTGGCTCAGAAACAGCATTCTGTCCCGAAAGCTGAGGCATTTTGGCCATGTTACACGTCATGGTGGCCTGGAGAGATCAGTTATGGAAGTTGCTGTTTTCCATAAAGGGAGGTAGAGGCCAACATCCGCAAAGATGGATACCACACCTTAAAGATAAATTGACTGTAAAAGTGCATAGGGCTGGAGAATTAGCTAGAGAAAGAGAGACTTTCAGACGTGCCCTGATGAGAATGTTGAGCCAAGAATTGACATCACTGCATTTAGGGCATTCCAATATGTGCTCTGTCTTCAGCAGTCAGTGCAGAGTTCCAATACTAATGGTACTGATCGTAGTCTGGTTATATGTCCGTCTTGCCTTTCCTCCGAATGTAGTGTCGGCCAGACCCTCTGGCATAGCCAGTTGCATCATTCTCGCCAGGCCATAATAATCTAGTTTCTCTTCTGACTTCGTTAATTGCTCCCAAAAGGCCTTGACCACATCTGCCTTGTCATGTATCAATTCACCACCCAGTGGTGCAGATCTAGCCAGTCTGTCTGCCAGTTCATTCCCTACCACGCTGGCATGACCTGGAGAAAATATCCAAAGTATGCTCACTACCTTGACCTTCCCAGGGAAGCTTGACATTCTTCTTTCTCAGCATACCTTCAGAGTCTGTTATAGTTATGGCATGTGTATGCTTCCTGTTCTCTAGCCACTGAAAAGCTGACGTGACTGCCTCCACCTCCAGTCTCATGCTAGATGTGTGATATCATATGCTAGTGATGGTGATGAGGGAGTCAGTTCTGTAAAGGTCCCGCTGATTAATGATGAAAGACAAGTCGACATATTGACCAGACCAGCTGTTAAGCATCGCATACCCAGTATGCCCTGATGCATAGAAATGTGCCCTTTACATTTTTACTCACATGATATATGAACTATTTATACTTAGGACACTTGGCAGAAAATGAAGAACGTTGAGACAGATGATTTGGGCTACAGAAATTTAGAAAAATATATATTATTTTATTATTTGTCTTCGCATTCACTGACTGTAAACTCCCACAGAAAGTTCTGGTTGTTCATCCACCTCTGGACTTAAGAACCTGAGTGTTGTGTGCACATCCATTTTACAGATCTGACTTGTTTGTCTGTGTATTGTTGGTTTCTTGCCTCTCAGGCAGATGCACTCCAACTCTGAAGTAAGCCCCTAATTAATTGACTCTTATGACATGCTTGACTGCTTGATAGGATGACAGATTATATACTTAACAACCAACCAACAAATGCTGATTATAATAGAAGCTTACTGGGTACTCTTTGTTTTGTAACAGCTGTCAGTACTGAGCCATGAGAAGCACACTCTGCTGGAGTTATGGGAAGAGAGGCGAGTTCTGTATGAGCAGTGCATGGACCTGCAGCTTTTCCTAAGGGACACTGAGCAGGCAGATACCTGGATGACCAAGCAAGAGGCTTTCCTGGTCAATGATGATCTTGGGGACTCGCTGGATAGTGTTGAGGCACTGCTGAAAAAGCACGGGGACTTTGAAAAGTCTCTTGCAGCACAGGAAGAGAAGATCAAGGTGGGTGGTTGTGTTTTTTGGTATTCATCTTTCTTCTTCTGATTTTAATTAGCGAATGGCGTTTAGTTCTTTAGCCATTTCATACTAAAGTCACTGTGCTTCTTCTACCATGTATCCCCCAAAATAAGACCAGTTCTTATTTTAATTTTTGGTTAAAAATGCGTATTTTCGGGGGATTCTTTTTTTTGTTGCTGTAAGAGTCATTTCTCATAATTGAAGCAATAGCTTTTTCATTTAGTACTTACTTTGTCAGGGTGTCAGAATATGGTATTATTCCTTTAAGTCTAGAATTAACTCGAGCATTAATGTAAGACTTATGAGATGGGTATAGCAACAACAATTATGAGACTTAAAGAATGATGGTATACATAAAAGTGACAAGAAATTGCTGCCGCCACAGTTTTGCTTCTTTATTTGACATGAGTGATGTACCTTGAATTATGAACCACATCCGTCCATTATCAAGTGGATGAGTCAAGAGTTGACATCACTGCATTCATAACATTCCCTTTTTCAGTAGCCAGTGAAGAGTTGACATGCAAATAATACCATTATCATGTGGCATCGGTACTCCCACCGGCGATTCAGCAACAATTCTCTCATTCTTGCTGAACATTTATACCAGGGCTTATTTTTTGGAGTAGGGCTTATATTAAAAGTATTCTTAAAAATAGTACTAGAGCTTGTTTTTGTGGTAGATCTTATTTTGGAGAAACACTGTAGTTATAGCTGTACCACATTGATCATCTGCCTTATGGAGTGTCAATCATTTCTGACTCAGATGTTCTTTCGTGCTGTGATCTCAATAATGATTAAACCTTTTTGCCCAGAGAAACCGAAAAACTAATGCTTCTGGTTGGCTCCAGTTCCCTGTAACTAGAACCACAGCACAATTATTGAATTAACTGCAGTGAGCTCTTTTTAAAAACATATGGCTTTTAATATGTTACTTGTCCTTATTGACATCCTGACGGCCATGCCAAGCTAGTCGAGGATATATTGCATGATGTGACATAAAATGTCCCTTGTACACCTAAGAGTCAAGTCTCATGGCTTTATTTTGCACTTTCTCTAGTTGTTCCCTGTCTCCCTCATGTCTGCTGGTTGTAAGGAGACCAGCCCCTTATGTTACTTCTTTATAATAGTGCCCAGGTTGGTGAATAACTTGTTAAATTCCATGAGGCTTTTTAAAAAAAAATGTTTATCTTTGTTGCAAACAGGCTCTGGATGACTTTGCAACCAAACTCATTGACAGCGAGCATTATGCTTCTGAAGATGTTGCAGCCAGGCGAGATCAGGTAAGTAGTTGACTGTTTTTAGCCTTTTTTCTTTCTTCAGAGTAATGCAGATGATGATAGTGAATTGCCTGTTCGTATTTATTTTGATAGTTGATGTAATATGGTTTCTGAGATGCATGCTGCAGATACAATGGATAGACAGAGTGCCTAACGGCGACTGCCTGGAAATGGCTAATGAAATTAGAAAACTATATAGAACTCTAAGAGTCAGTCGTTGCTCTTCAGTCATGTGATGATAAGAGAGGCATTGGAAAATATTGTGATGCTGGAAGGATCAACAGTGGAAGATGCAGAGGCAGAGCAAGAGAGACAATGTTTGACGGCCTGAAGCAATGGTATGGTGGAATATCATCAGTGGAAGTGATTCAAAATACCAAAAGACCAAGGTCTGTGGAGAGACGTGAGCTTCTGTGTCTCTGAGCACAGCTCATGATGATGATGATGATGATAGTGATTTATTGTAAATTCTTTAGCAGTGGGGCTTAAAGCACCAACATACTCGGACGTATATAATCTATTGTGCTTGCATCAACAGAGCTGCATGGAGTCATAAAAGGGGGAGCGCGCGCGCGCATACACACGCGCACGCACACACACACACTTACTTTTTGTTTTTGGGCAGAGAGCCACTTAGAGTCACTAAAGATATATAATTGGATTGTAGTTGTGGCCATTGCTCTTTAGGCAGCAAACATTACACTCAAAGATTCTGGAAATGTTGCTTCTGCTTTTCACAGCTTCTGCGCAGACGGGATGCCTTGTATGAGAAGTCAGCCGGCCGCCGCCACATGCTGGAGCAGTCCTATGAGTTCCAGATCTTTGAGAGGGACTGTGATGAGACCAAAGGCTGGATCAATGAGAAGCTGAAGACTGCCTCCGATGAGAACTACCTGGTCAGTCATTTTCCTATTCCTTTTAACACCTTCAGATTTCTTCTTTTTCTCCTTTCTATGCTGCTGCTTCATTGCGTAAGTTAATCTTTTTTTCTAATAATTTTTTTTACTTTTTAAATGTAATTCTTGATGCCTTAATCCCATATTTTGTTTTCTTCGTTTACTCTCTGTTAATTATTTGCTTAGCGGAGCTCTCTGTGAGTGACACTTGTTACCAGGGCATTCTGGCTACGACCAAACCATCTCAACTGTTGCAATCTATTGAACGATATGATTGGTTTTAGTCATATGTTTTTTCTGATTTCTTAATTTTTAATTGTGTAATCTCTCTAGCCATGAATAGTTTTGTAAATTTTTTTTTATGCATTTCCCAGCTGTAAACTCTAGCAGAGAGTTCTGGTTGTTCGTCCACATCTGGACTTTTGAACTTGTTCAAGAACTTGAGTTTTGTGTATCCATTTTACAGATCTAGCTTATTTGTGTGTCAAGCAGATTTCCATTTCCCAAAAAATTTTGCTCTGCAGCCCATACAGGGAATCAGTCTTTCTAAGTGTCACATATTCCAGTTTCTTTCTTCTCATAAGGGATAAAATATGGTGCAGCAAAGTCGATCCTGTCGACTTTAACCTTCTCATAAGATGACCAAGATAAATTGTATCAGTTTTTTCCCCAATTCTCTCTCCTGCAGGATCCAACTAATCTACAGACAAAGCTACAGAAGCACCAGAATTTTGAAGCTGAGGTGGTGGCTAACGAAAGTCGTATTGAGAGTATCCGAACCACGGGCAGGCAGCTCATTGAGAAAGACCACTATGCCAAGGGACCCATTAGGTATGCTACTTACATCATTGTGTTAACATACTTACTCTCAGATATTGTTTTCTGTCAGAATAGTTTTCTCGTTGTAAATTAAAATAAGTTGGACACAACAATACATTGCAAAAATGTTTGCCTGTAATATTTCCCTGTATCTCTTCAGGTGAATTACTACAGAGTTAAATCAGCATATATTGAAGCACAAGATTGGATCTTTTTCCCTGAAATACACAAATAGCATTGTCATTTTTACCATACATCCTATCACCAGAAATTCAAGATTAGCCACATGGTTACCATGTTAATTTCAAGATTATCACCTGTTCTTTCTGTTTACACAAAGTAGGATAGTTCATTTTTATTATTATTGCCTTGGTGAATTTCAACAAATTTCTCTTCAGTTTGCAGAAAATAACTTTTTTTTTGCATTAAAAAAGTATCAGAACTGTGAAATGAATATGCATGCATAACTCAAATTCTGGAACAGAATCAAAGTCTAGAAGTGGACGAACAACTAGAACTTTCTGCCAAAGGTTACAGCTGGTGTATGCTAAGAAGAAGAAGCAGAAAAATTAAGTCACTGAACTATTTAGCTGTAGTGGGAATGAGGTGTTTTAAAGGACTTATTTCATAACAGCGATAATGCAGTATCAGGTAAATGAAGGAACATACGAGGCACACACAGTCTTTTGGTGCTGCACAACCTGGTAGTAAATTGGCTGAAAACTTGGAGGGCATGCAAATAAAAAATATCTGAACAATTCCTATTTAATTTTTCTGTCAGAAAGCCTCATATCAGTAGGCCAGTAGCCTTGATGAAAGCTATCTCATCTCATCTCGATCTTCTAATGCCTTGCGGTGCTGAGGTGAAGTATAATTTATTCAATGTTGTTATATAAGATGCCAGGCGAACTGCTTCTGTGATGTTGGGTCTCAGCTCAGAATCTGTAGTTGCACATAATCCCCTAGGAACTAGTCTGTAACTTTGCCAGTAACTTTATCAACTTTGCACTCATCAGAGAACGAGTTGCTGAAATTGAGAACCTGTGGGCAACCCTACAGTCACAAACTGAAAAGAAAGGTAAATTTGTATTATTTTGAATTTATTTAGTTTTTTTAATGTGTATGTGTGTGTGTGTGTGTTAAAACCAGTGAGTATGTTCTACTATAATTCCTAATATGATTAAATGATGGGACATCTCTGCATGTTTCCTCTGCTGATTCAGTGCAGCAAAGAAATGTGGCAGGGTATCTGCTGTGCATATTGTATGAGATTCTCCTCCTGCTTCTGTTCATTCATAGTTAGAGAAAGGTCTGATAGCATGGAAGGCGATGGCATACAGCAGCATTGAACAACACCTACCTTATCTTGTCAATCAGGGACTTGTACTGTTAAGAACTACAGTCTGGGCCTCCTTACTGTCAGCTAGAAAGACTGGTCCGGGTACAAAGTTAGGCTATCAGACTCATACCTGGCTGCACAAAAGACACCTCCTGCCATGTCATGCCATGGGGTATGTCCTGGGTTTACCGATGATGGCCATCAGACACCAAGGGGCACAGATTGAAGGTAAACATGATAATATCAGCAGACATCAACCACCCATTACACAAGGGTTTCAATGATATAAAAGTGATGCGTCTAAAAAGAGGCTGCTCCTGGATGGCTGAGGCAGAACATCTGAACCAGTAAGTATGTGACCTAGACGAGGTCAGTCATGGAAAAGAATGGGTGGATACACCAGCAGACATGCATGATTTGTCATAACACTGTCTAAATCCTAATTTAAAAAATGTAAGTAAAGTTTAAGAAAAAAAATGTTGATGGACCTTTTTTCACGCCTTCAAACAAATACGTCTAGACCTATATTTTATAGACCAATCGTCACTTGGTGGGTGATGTGGTCAGCATCACGCTGGCCAACTTTTCTTCCCAGGACTTTACCTGGTACTCACTTAAGTCTGGGTAGACCTGGGAGCCATGGTCATTTTTGACCGGCTCAGTCAGGAGCTGAACCCACGACCTTTAGTTCCGCAAGCCGGCGTCTAGCCACTGCACCATGGCAGCTGCCAGTGTAAGTAAATGCCGTATTTGATTGATTTCAGGCAACAAGCTGAAGGAAGCTGCTCACCAGCAGCAGTTCAATCGTAGCGTGGAAGATGTGGAGTCGTGGTTAACTGAAATTGAGAACTCTCTTATATCAGAAGATTATGGAAAGGTAAGCCTGACATATTACGTGTTCTGTCATGTCTGGTGCAGTAACACATGCTTATCCCAATCAGTTTTATAATCTGTGTTTGATCACATTGATTGGAAAACTCTGGCCAGGCCAATAAAGATTTAGTCTGAAATAATCAGCACACACAGAACCATTGCTGTTACCGTTGACTTTATATATATATATTATCGCTTAGTGTCACACTCTTTTTTGGCAGTGTTCTTCAGCCTCAAGTACATAGACCAGCACAGGTACACAGAATTTCCTGGCAGCCCACCTGAATGTTAACCCTATGCTGATTTAGAGAATAAAATGATTTCTAAATTTGTTTTTGTTGCTCTGTTAGGCATCGGCCGGTTCGTGTTAATGCCACATTTGCACATGTGTAGGCGATATGCCACACCCAGACTCAGAAAATAATTTTAGAACATAACAATTTTTTGTTTCTTGAAATTTTAATGAAAGACCAAAATCTCAACAGTTGTACCTGTAAGCAGTAAAAGATGGGCCGCTTAAGAGCAAGTTACTGTTATGAACTTAAGTTGCAAGTAGTGCGTTGTTCTCAAGAAAGTGTAAAACGGGCAGTTTTGAGGAAGTTCAGTGGGGATGGGAAAGATGTGAGATGATGGATTCGTCTTCTTTTTCTGCGTTTATCCAAAGATGCAATTGCGCTGTGTCCGTTTACAGCATGGCTGCGATATTTGCACCTTTTGGCCAACACATCCGACTTCTGCGGGTATTTGCTGACCGGGTTAGCCTTCCTGGAGATGATGGATTGAAATAAAAGATACTTCTGGAAAAAAAACATGCCAAAGTCGACAATCTTCTTGTGGCAGATTAGCTAAATACCCAGAAGTAGAAACCAATCTGCTGGAATATGTCAAGAAAATACAGGCAGGTGGATTTTCTGTGTACGTGGAGATGTTACACTTTAAAAAAGGTCGGTTATCAGACATCATGGGCATTCCTCAGAATGAATGTAAAGTCAGCTATGGCTGGTCTAGAGGCTTTGTGGCATGAAATGACCTTGTGGCTCTGGGGCGAACAACAGTGGTGCGGCAACTTCCTGGCAGCTACCAAATTGTTTATTTATAGCTACAAGTGATACGTAGACATCATGTCTCGTTTGTAAGCCACACCCTGTTTTTCATCAACAATTTTCAGTTAAAATTCATGCGTAAATACGGTATTATCATATTTTCTTGGTCCTTATATGTAGAAAGAATGAATAACACTGCAAAATGTAGATTACATTATTTTTAACTCAGTTATTTCCCAGGCAGTTGATTATTAACCCACTCTGTTCTAGTCAAGAAGTTGACTCCTACCCTGGCTATCGTTACAGATTCTCATTCTACGTCAGATAGTCATTATATGAACTCAAAAATCCATATGTTTAATACTGAAAAGTGACAACAGTTTCTGATAGAGTTGAAATAGAAGTAGTCACTGAACACATGGTACCTTGACTGGTATCAAAAGAGATCATACCATGGCTTGTGTTCATATTTCATTTAATGATATTTTTTCTTTTTACTTTTCTTCCTGTTTCTTTGCCATATTTGACATTTGTATAGGTGTGCTTATGGAAGTTATGGTTTTTGACAGCTTGACAGCTCTTGTTTGTTTTGTGAATGTTGTGGTGCGTGTTTGTGTGATGTTTTCCTTCAGTGTTGTGTGATGTTTTCCTTCAGTGTTGTGTGATGTTTTCCTTCAGTGTTGTGTGATGTTTTCCTTCAGTGTTGTGTGATGTTTTCCTTCAGTGTTGTGTGATGTTTTCCTTCAGTGTTGTGTGATGTTTTCCTTCAGTGTTGTGTGATGTTTTCCTTCAGTGTTGTGTGATGTTTTCCTTCAGTGTTTGTGTGATGTTTTCCTTCAGTGTTTGTGTGATGTTTTCCTTCAGTGTTGTGTGATGTTTTCCTTCAGTGTTGTGTGATGTTTTCCTTCAGTGTTGTGTGATGTTTTCCTTCAGTGTTGTGTGATGTTTTCCTTCAGTGTTGTGTGAAACAATTTCACTCTCTATGTGCAGTGTTTGGCTTCTTGTGAAACAGCTTTCCCTCCTTTTTTTAAAAAATAATGATTTTCTTCTGTTCACTAAAGCCCCCCCCTTCCCTCCCCACACCCATTTTCCCTACTTTAAATCAATTATTTTGATTATTTTTTTGTCTATGTGAAACAGTTCCATATTTTTAAAATGATTTTGATCAATTTTTTGTGTTTTTTTTTGCGCCCCAGCTACTGAGTATTTTACAAATGCAGAAAAATGAAACTTATTGTAATCCGTATTCTTTCTGTTAACTTTCTGGTTACCTGTTTTGACTCATTTTGGTTCACAGATTTGTATTTTAACTGAATATCTGTTAACTTCTTTACTTATTTTTTACTCAAGAGATCTGTGAACTGCAGCTATTTAGAAAGTCATTACTGAAGGTGGTTCTAAAGCAGTTACTGCTGGTGGAGTGTGAAATGCGAGTATGTGGACTATAATTTATGAAGTGACTATGTGATTCAGGAAATATGTTGCTGCAAAGCAAGTGTGGCGTCGTATGTGACAGTTTGAAGTAGAAATTTGGCACCAGAATTTTAGGTGTTGCCACTGAATATTGGTTATTACTTAAGGTGGTTCCAAAGGAGCTTGAAATGTGATCTCTTCACGTAGTCTAGGCCGTAACATACAGAATAGGCACAATTTCCTTCCTTTTTTTTTCAAGTTCCTAGGCTTTCTCTTCCTGTTAAAATTAGTTGTTCTGTTGAGTCTAGATGTGGTATTTCATTGTTTTACACAATCTCCTTCTCTGCCGAAAATACCTGGTTGAATCATTTTGTATGCATCATTCATCTATCCTAGTCATAAAAAGGGGAAAGTTATGTGTGTGTCTTGTGTTTGTCACACTGCTTGGTCATCCTGTATGTAACAGTTTATTATTGTGGCTGACTGAGTGTCCTCTTGTCCACTGGTTCGTTAGGTGATTAGTTGAGTTCTTGGGTAGAAAAAATAGAGTCTGTATGACCTGGATTTATGGACCTTAGATTCTGTTGAAGGTTAATATATTGCAAATTTAGGTGACCAGCTTGCTACCTCATGATGTGACCAGCAAATAAATATATCTGATGCCAGTTTAATGAAGCTGCATTGATTCTTGAACCTCATGTCCTCTTACAGATATTTACAATTTTGGATTCTGTATTAGCCTAATTTTTTCTGAACAGCGACAATATATATATATATATATATATATTGTCGCTGTTCAGAAAAAATTAGGCTAATACAGAATCCAAAATTGTAAATATCTCTAAGAGGACATGAGGTTCAAGAATCAATGCAGCTTCATTAAACTGGCATCAGATAATAAAATAAAATAAAATATATATTATATATATATTATCTTGATTCGTCTCTTATCTTTTATATATATATATATATATATATATATATATATATATATATATATATATATATATATATATATATATATATATATATATATATATATATATATATATATATATATAAAAGATAAGAGACGAATCAAGATAATATATATATAATATATATTTTATTTTTAAAAAGCCCTGCTAGAACTACATCATCCATGCACTTAGAATGGATAAGGCAAGACTCCCACATCAAGTCCTCATATGGAAGGGACAAGAAAACGGGGAAAACCAAGAGAGACTCTGTATAGAACCATCATAAGGGAAGGCTGAGCCATGGGCTTAATAACATCCATGACTTAACACAGGTGGCAACAAACTGCCAGATGTGGAGAGCTTTGACCTATGAGCTGCCCTAGGCCCAAGGGAAAAGACTAACGTTATATATATGGTACCAACAGAATGGAAGTCAGTGTAAACACATCAAAGAACATGCATAGGAGAAGATAGGAGAACTTATGGGTATACCTATCATGCATTGGAGACGATCCTGTTACGAACAATGAATAGTCTGTTAGCAGTTTGATATGACTGTGTTGGTTCCAGAATCTCACGTCTGAAGTGGTGCTAGCTGAACCTGGAAGACCAGGTCGTGCATGAAAAATATATACCCTATGCAGATTCTCACTAAGACAACTATACTGCAAAATAATGGGGGAAAGATATGAATGACCAGCTGGCTAAATTTTAAAATGTCGATTAAGGTAAGAACAAGGTGGATTCACCTAAAGGTTATTTGCATATCCTTTACAGGACGTTGCAGAACCAACCCCAACCTTCGTTGGTTTTTCTAGGCAAATTTACAGCCAGTAGTTTGCCATTGCTTTCTGGTCGGTCGGCTTTCTTGATACCACTTGAAACCAATGCAAGCACATAGCTCGCAGCTGGGTTCGAACCGGCATTATAAAGCTTTGGCATCGACTTAGCCACAGAGCCGATGGATTCATGTAAAAGCTATGGGAATTAAGTTTAGAACAGTGGATTAGTGTAAGAATACCTTTGGATTAATGTTACAGCTGACTAAAAACAAAGAAGACACAAACAATAGATTGCACAATTTATTGCCTGGCATTACACCTCATCTGTTGCCTGCCATATTTTGTATTATTATTTATACCTCAGCCAACTACAGAATATTGAGATTGATGGAAGCAACTGCTGTAAACCTTTTTAGTCCAGAATTATGCAGACAAAAGGACATGATCTTCACCTTATGTTTACTCTGGTGAAACAGACAGCTTTTGAATGTAATCGATTTTGTGTTTCATTTAGAAGGATTCATTCATTTGCTTCATTGTAATAAATTTTTACAGTTGTGTTCACGAGATACCACGAAATATACCAGGCAGTAAATTGTGCAATCTGTTATGTCTTTTTGTTCAAAAGAAAAAGTTGCAGCTCTTATGTTTGCAAATTATGTAGAGTGGTCCACCATTCTCTTTGTTTCCCCCATGATGATCATTTTTCATGATTATACTACTAGCTTCTACAGCGAAGTGTAAGTTTGATTCTCCCCACCACCCTCCACTTGCCTCTGTATGTGCTGCTGTGCTTTCTACATACAA